TCAACCTAAAACTTTAGTGAACAAGATTGCTGAATACACTATCCCTGTTGGCATTCAACACGATTCCGAAAAAGAAATTGAAAGATGGATAGAGAAAAAATGGCTACAAAAGTATGATTTGAAGAAACACGGTCCAATAAAAGGTTTGGTTCCTCTCATGGCAGTCGTGCAGCAAAATAAAGGAAAAGTACGACCAGTATTGGACTTCAGGGAGCTCAACTCGTTTATTGAAGCATTCACTGCGAACACAGATGCGTGTGCTGACAAACTTCGAGATTAGAGACGGTTTGGAGAAAATGTTTCAATAATTGATTTATCTTCAGCTTTCATGCAACTAAAAATTGATGAGAAACTTTGGGCTTACCAAACAGTAGTGTAGTGGACAAAGTGCTATCGCAAGACGAACAATCTGGAAAGGAACATCATCTTACATTGATGATATTTTTGAAGACATAATACCTGTTCGTTGCCTACTTGATCATTTGGAAACCTATGGGCTTCATTGCAAGCCGGTGGTCCGCGTAGCCGATGGAGCAAGAGTTCTTGGTTTACAAGTCGGAATGGAAAATAATAAGTTGTGTTGGAGAAGAGATAATGATTTTGGTGAAATTCCGAAATCACTAACAAGACATAACATCTATTCTTTGTACGAAAAATGACATAAACCAATGAGTTTTTAATATGTTTGCTATCCAAACCAATTGCCTTTATATTTGAAACTTAATCGTTCTTTCTCTCTCTTCATCTGACTTGGATCAATTACATCATTAAGATGTAAATAACCAATATCTTGAAGTAGAGCATTAGCTACGGCCGCAGCTGCTTTATCTGATATTCCATATCTAATTACCTCTAAAGCAAATTTGCGATAGTGGGTAGTGTTATAGCACTTTGATCTAGTCTGATTTAATGATGAAATAGAAGTTTCACTCTGTAATTATAGAAAAAAATCCAACAAAACTTCCAGAAATTAAAAATCATAACAATGAAAATTTTACATTTAATTGTATTAACATTATATTTAAAAGAATTAAGAAATTTAAGAATATATATAGTTTTTACCATACAATCAAAGTATACAGGTCACAGTTTATTACCTGATCTGAATCCATGTTGTGTCAAACCCTTTAATATAAATTTCTTCATCAGAAGCTTTTGTTTGCTTTGTTTTTCTTGAGGTAGGTGATAAAACAGGGTTATCAATACTTCCTATTTGAAACTTTCCTTTAGGGGTAGCAGTAACAGTATCGAAAACAGCCAAACTGATTAATCTCGAAAGTGGAATTTCCAGAATAACATCGAAATAGAGAATAACATCGAAATTGTAAAAAAAGGAATAGTATCGAAAATCCGAAAAATAGAATAACCTCGAAATTGTGAAAAAAGGAATAATATCGAAAAGGGACTTTTCGGAATAATATTGAAAAAGAAAACATTTTAAATTTGTTAAAAAAGGATTAGTATCGAAAATCCTAAAAGCAGAATAATCTCGAAACAGCTCAAAAGAGAATAATATTGAAAAAAGACTTACAGAACAATATCGAAAGTGTGAATAAAGGAATAGTATCGAAATTTCAAAAAACGGAATTAGATCGAAATTGTAAAAAAAGGAACAATATCGAAACGGGACTTTCCGGAATTATATCGAAACTGTGAAAAAAGGAATAAAATGGAAAAAGGACTTTCCAGAATAATATCGAAAAGGTGAATTTTGATAATAGGTTTGAAAATTCCAAAAGCAGAATAAATAGACGGCAGTTTTTTGCGGTTTTTTGCGGTTTTTAATTAAAGTGTAGTAATTACACTGTATAATTGTATAATATAAACAAAAAGCTCTATTAGTAGAACAAAAAATATTGAATGTTGTGTTGTTGGCTATTTATAAAACGATTCAAAACAAAATTTATTGATTTTATTTACAGTAGGCACTTCACACGATTTTACTATTACAATTATCTCTTGTTATAATTAATACCATTATATGCGGATAATGAAGAAGCTTTCAGAATGTGTTTATTTTTTAAATTTGGATAACTGGTTCCCAAGTTATGACAATCTATGTTGGGCTCAATAATACCTATTTGGCGTCAAGGTTTGTTGAGTTTTTCTTAAGGAATTATGGCACTAAATTTTGATAATAAATTTATTTTTCATGTGCTATCAAGAAGGAGTTTCATTGAAGTACTTATGCTGAATTATTTTTATTGTTTTCTTTTTTACTAAAGCAATCAATTCTACAAATTATCATTCTCATATTAGGGGAGCCTAGGTAAGAATTCCACTCCTCGTTTACCCATTTGGGGCAATTGGATCAAAAGCTATAAAAGCTTCGTTTAAACCGTAAAAATTAACTTTAGATAAAGAAATAGAGTTTTTTCAAACGGTCAGGGTAAACAAATTTATTAACATTTATAAATAACAAGAAAATAGGTAAAAATATTAGGTCTAATTTCTTCTACAGAACTTTGATTGTTCTTGGCCCAATCGCCCATTCAGGACAACAAGGTAAAAATGTAAAAATACACAAAGCCCGTTTTCCCAGTTTTATAGTTTTAACAGAGTAAAAAAACTCTGTTAAAACTATAAAAATTAACTCAAGTTAAAGAAAAAGACCTTTTTCAAACTGTCAGAGTAAAGATTCATTTACATTTATAAATATCAAGAATATATGTAAAAATCTAAGAAAAAACATTTTTCTCATTTAGGGCCGGGAGCCATGACGTTAAACTTATAAAAATAAGCAAAAAAAAAATTCTTCAGAAAATTCTTCAAAAAATTTTTCAGTAATAGCTCAAACCCTAAATAAGTAAAATTTGAACTCTATTTTATGAAGTACACCACCAATTTTATGAAATATCATGCAAATAGTTTTGCCGTTAACATGGAAATGTGAACGAAGAGTCACATTATACCCGAACTTTATCATATTTTAATTTTACGCGTTGCAACGCGTTAAAGCGAAGTATGATAAAACTCACAAATCCATGTTAATGACAAAACTATGAACATAATATTTCACAAAAGTGGTGGTGCACTTCATAAAATACAGTTCAAACTTCACTTATTTTCAAGCTTCTTTTTCCGCTTAAATTGTAAATCAAATCCAAGTGACACAGTAATATATAATGTTATTTATCATTTGCAACAACAATGTTATTTTTATCATAAATAACATGTTGTATCTTAGAAATATTAGTGACATTTTTTGGAAATAATAAAAAAGTTCGCCTTTGTTTAAATGCTTGAAAACATTTGCCCTTTAGTGATTTTTTAACAAAATGATTTTAGGCCCACTGCACAGTGGGCCAGAAACATGAAAAAGTGATCAAAATTAATAACTACATATAAAATCAATTTAACAATATTAACGTTATAAAATCAATTCAACAATAATTGTATTAACTAAAACATAATATTACAACCATTTAAATTTTCTTCAGGTTACTCACTTTCAAAAAAGATTAAAAATTTTTGAATTGTTAAAGGTTGGTTTTGCTCATTTTTTTAATTTTTGCTCACTGCTGGCCCACTGTGCACTCCTTGAATGTTAACTAAATATTTTATCTAAGCAAAACATAAAATTCCAAAAAGAACTATTAAACACTTACTTTATAAAAAAAAATCGTCCTTACTACAAATTCTGATAGAGGGGGAGGGAAAATGCCTCCTTGACCCCTCCCCCTATGACGTAGCCAATGTAGACATACCTCCATGTTGTAGCCCATGTTCAATTATACTTGTTAATATATTATTCGCAAATTATATTCATAAAAAATTTTGTAAGGCGTTTTAGGAAACTCGACTAACTTGAAGAATTATTAGTATATATATTAGTGAATAAAATATATGAAGTTTATGTAAGCAAAACATAAAATTCCAAAAAGAACTATTAAACACTTACTTTACAAAAAAAAAATTTATCAAAATATATTAGTGAATAAAATATTTGAATTTACTAATCTTCTAACAATTTATTTTATGTATAAAAGGTTATTGATTGTACTTTTTATAAAAAGTACAATCAATAACCTTCTATAAATATACAAGCCCATATCGTAAAGATTTTGAGGTTAGGTTGGTCGTTTCGGAGAAAATTGTGGTCAAGAATAGAAAATCTTAGATAATTTTTATAACGTGAAACTAAGAGCATTTGGTTAAAAAAAAGATGTCAATCGCTCACGATTATCTCCTCTCTTTCCCCACCCCTACCAACAGTAAGGACGTGATAAATTTAATAGAAACTAGCTTTTAATAGAAAATTTATATCAATAGCAACTCTTTAAACAAAATGCATATTTATTATAAAGCAAATTAAGGATGAAAAATCCTTTTTTATAGCTGTTTTGTGCTGGTCTGTAAAATCTGGGTCTGTGTTTTATATAATCTATAAGGTGTTATATCTTGGAAAGGAAATATTTTCAGCATATGGTTTTCACATTATATAGTTTTTTGTTTAATTTCTATATATTTTTTTCCTGACTGTAACAAGTTATGATCCCGGCCAAAAATTTTTTAGCACTCGTTTTCTTCTTCTTAGTTTTAATCTAATTAAACAAGTTAAAAGCTAGCTAGACAAGTTAAAACCTAGTTAAAAAAAGTTAAAAGGAAAAAGTTGCTTCTAACACGCTTGTGCACACGAAAGTGCTAATCGTAACATAGTAACCCTCACGATAAGTCTTTTGTTGATACTGTCACTTGCTTCAAGGAAACTTATTTAATTTTGCTAGACAAGCAGCTGTAGAATTTTATGCTACATTTATCTATACAATAACTTTAACATGTAAATGACTATTGTTTCTAGGGTGATGGAATTTATTTAGTACTTATCCTTAACGTAATATGGGGTTTGCTCAACTGAAACCAATACAATACGCCAACTTACGGAAAATCTTGTAGGCCCAAATGGAATTTAAAGTCATTTATGTAAACTAAAAAATGACGTTATTGATTGTTTTTTATTCCAGGCGGAGCAATAGGAAAAAAATTATACGGCTTTTACATAATAAATTTTTTAAAATAAATTTAAACAATTGTGTGACATTCTAGTTTTGAAAATATAGGTAAAAGGGAAAATTTTACTGAATCGTTGAAAAGGTTCAATTATAGGTGATATTGGTCCTCGGCAAGTGGGACAATGAGCTGTGTTGCTTTTTTGGACTTGTTGAATGCAGGGCTGACAAAACAAAAAATGTCTGCAAGGCATTACTAATGCATTTCGTTCATTGACGGTACAAACAACGCACTTCGGTGACTCTGTTGAAGTAGAAGTTGGCAAAAGAAGACTCTCATCAACCTCGTTCATTGAGTTTTCATCCAAAGCACTAAAAATATTTAAAAACTTCAAATACAATTTTCCATATTTCATGGAAAATAACAGATTATCAAATAAAGTTAAACTAATTAGTTTGGTAAAAAAATTGATAAAGGTTAATAAATAAGAAGTGTTATACAAAAACTTGGAAAACTATCTTACACTACTTTGAAGTTTTGAAAGAGATATGATACTGTTGATAGGAATCTCTCAGTTGTCCAAACTCCGTCTCGAAGTTTTTTCTCAAAACAACGCATTTTTTCAATTGCACCATAGTCGCGTTCGTCACGGCGGACTGGCTGATTGCAGGCAAGCTGTTGAAGCTCTTGAATTGTATGGACTATTACATGCTGGTTTAGCAATTTCATAAACTGCCAAAATCCTCTATGTCGATCACCCATGTTTGATTTCAAACGTCTATTGAGACTCTCTGCATTGTTATTGGTTTTGTGGTTCAACCCATAAACACTGAATCCTTCTGGGGTCACTATATTGAGCCAATAACTCTCAAAATACTTTTAAAAGCAAATAGTTTGATTTTGATTTTGCGACTAAATTGTGCAATCTCAATAACTCGAGATCCCCAAGCAACCAAGAACTTGTTTGCAGGAAGGAGACAAAGTGCTAAAACTTTTCTTACTTCTTTACTTGAATTTGGTGGCGGTATTCCTTCTGAAGACCAAGAATCGCTAATTGCTTGGTGATTGCATTGTCGAAATGAAACCTAAAGATAAGGGTTTAAAGGAGATCATTAATTGATAACAAACTCTGAAAAACTTGGATAACTTAGAAACTGGAAACTAAGTAATAACAAAGTAATAACTTTAATTTTTTTTAAAGTTTTTAATATATCACTTTTTTCGTCTACGGGCTGTCCATTAATAACATTAAAAAAATAAGGAAGAAGGTGTCTAAATTTTTTTGAAAATTTCTGCTAAAGGTGAGGGGAGGCGGTCAAGTAAAGTTGACATCAACAATGTTGCTTCATTTTTTTAAATTTCGTTACTCAAAAAAAGAAAAATTTGCCTGCGTTTTTAGCGCAGCGTCTTTATTTAGGGGAGAAGGGTTATCAAAAATTGACGTAACTTTATAGGGGAAAGAAGTGTCTCTGGAAATTTAACAAATTGTTGACATGGAAGAGGGGGTAATGTAAAAATAGCCAAAAGTTTGTTGATGTAATTAACACACTTTTATTTTATAAAAAACTAGTACTAGGAGAAAATCTTAAGAAATTTTTAATACTAAGTCACTTTTCAAAAAGAAACTTATTTAAGAGTTCGATGAATATTTCCTAACTTTTCACCCTAATAGCGCATCAGCTTAACAAAGTTAGCATTACCTACAATGGAGAACTTTAAATGAACAGTTAATTTGCACGCGCAATAAACAGTTTAATTTGCACGTGCAATAAAATTCTGTTCAAATTAAAACTTAAAATTTAAGAAACTTTTAAGAAACTCAAGTTCTGAACGACAAAGAGTGCCATCGCTATGGAGACATTTTCTTGGGATCAGTTGCAGAACAGGATAACGTAGCATTGCTGTTTGGGCATATGTTAGTCATCAACAAGGCGAAATCGGCCAAAGTGTGTTTTGTTGATGGAACATTTAGGAATTTATACGTATGCATTTAACTTTTTCAAAAAAATATATGTTCTAGAAGAACATATATTTATCTAGGGGGCTGTCCATTAATTACATCAACAAACTTTTGGCTATTTTTACATTACCCCCTCTTCCATGTCAACAATTTGTTAAATTTCCAGAGACACTTCTTTCCCCTATAAAGTTACGTCAATTTTTGATGACCCTTCTCCCCTAAATAAAGACGCTGCGCTAAAAACGCAGGCAAATTTTTCTTTTTTTGAGTAACGAAATTAAAAAAAATAAAGCAACATTGTTGATGTCAACTTTACTTGACCGCCTCCCCTCACCCTTTTTCACCTCAATTTTCAAAAAAATTTAGACACCTTCTTCCTTATTTTTTTAATGTTATTAATGGACAGCCCGTAGGCAAAAAAAGTGATATATTTCCCTCCTTTAGTTCCAATTTTCTCCCTTCGGCCTTTTATATAGGAGCGTTCTTACAAAGGAACCTAAATAATTATTTGTGGTTTTAAATATTATTTTCAATTAATTTGTGTAAAACGTGTTATCTAAAAATATAAAAAATAATTTTTTGGTCAAAGATTTAATCTTATTTCTATTCCAAGAAATAACATTGCTACATCACCATAAGTCGCTAGATCTGTAATAGGATTTTCAGAAGGGCTACCACCATATAAATTACACCATCTAGTTTTTCTTACAGGAGGCATTTTTGTATTATTGTAATAAATTAAGTTTGATAATATAGTTAATATATATTATAGATTTTATAATTTCTTAAAAATAACAGTAAAACTGTTGCGCAAGGTTTAATTTACAATTTGATACTCTGCTTTTTGGTTTGTTTTAAGGCCATATGTCATAATAAGCAGGATGTCAACTCTATAAAAACTTGTATATGACTATTTTCTGAAAAAATGTATATGACTATTTTTAAAAACACGATTGAATAACTAGAAAAAACATTATCATTATACAAAATCATTAAATCAATGATGCACAAAAAATATATTTTTTATTTTCTTTAGCATGCTTTTCAAAACAGTCCTTTCTAGTTTTTTCAGTTTATCCAGCAGAGTGAACACCCCAATATATCCAATAAAAATGGTGACATATAAGAAATCTTTTAGGTTGGAATTTTAATGCTTATTTTTAAAATATGATAGCTTCTACTCAACTTTAAAAATTACTTTTTTAGCCAAAATTCCTATTTTTTCATAAGGTTTAAGGTACTCCAGCTTGAAGTAATAAATTCCCAGAAATTGCTGGTGTCTAATAAACATGTCTGAACTTGGCGCAGTAATTAAAGGCTAAATATGGACCTTAATTAGAAAATGGAAATTCTACACATCTGCACTGATTCGAAAGCGGTATTCCATTGGGTTACCGAACCACTCATGGGAATATCTAGATTAAGAACAAAAGCTTTAAATGAAATGCTGATAAGAAGATGACTTCATAACATAACAAATATAGTGGAAGAATACCAACTCAAAGTAAATATTAAACTTGTTGCTTCGGAGTTTAACTTGGCCGATGCCCTTACTAGAGTGCCCAATAGTTGGTTAAAATTGGTTGATAAACCCTATGCAATGGCAGCAAGTGGCATTAGTAGTACTTCGCTATCTCCCAAAGACATCGAGCAGATTCATAGATCTACAGGACATGGCGTGAAAAAAACATTGTACTTCGCTCGTAAAATCTACCCATCAGTGAGTAAGGAAGACGTTAACAAATGGTTAAGAAATGCATACCTGTCAATCAATCGATCCAAGTCCAGTGAAATGGCTGAAAGGGGAAATAGAAGTAAAGAGAACGTGGCAACGACTTGGCATGGACATAACTCATTATGAGGGGCAGCACTATCTTACTTTAATCAACTGTGGACCTACACGGTATGCAATATGGTGATATCTTAAAGATCAAACCAGTGCATGTGTTATTCAAGAACTAAACGCAATATTTCTCAAATGAAGAGGTCCGGATGAAATACTGACGGACAATATTACTGCATTTTGAAGCACATTGTTTTCTCAGTTTGTAAATAAATGGAACGTTCAACTTCGATTCAGGTGCGCTTATGTACCTTCGGGAAATGGAATTGCAGAACGCTGTCACAGAACTGTCAAAAAAACGGTGAAGAGAGTTCCGTGCAGCATACTGGAGGCAGTTTATTTGTATAACGTTAGTCCAAAAGATAGTTGTAAGTCTTCTACTGCACCTGCAAATAAGTTATATCAATACGAAATTAGAGTAAGACGAATTGATAACAACAAGAATGCACATGATCCTTGTAAGAAGATAACCAATAAATTCAAACTTGGCGATAAAGTATGGGTTAAACCCCCGGACAGCCGATGTGACTCTCAATATAAGATTGGAATAATTACAGGGATAATCTCGGGGCAAACGGTAGAAGTGGACAAAATGTGTCGACATGTACGAGACCCAAGACAAGTAAAAGTTGACAACAATTCGAATGAAGATCTTGGACAAGGAAGAGTTGATAATGATTTAAGTGAGGATTCAGAAGATGAGTTATACATTGTGCTGCCTCGAGTACAAATATGCAAGACGTTAGTGTTACGTAGAAGCACACGAGAAAGGAGGGCCCCTAAATGTTTTAGTCCTTGAGACAAGATGGTCATTGTGACCAAGGGGAAGTGTAAAGTGTAATTATATTTTATGATTGTTAACGATCGATTTGCGTTAATTGTAAATAGTTGCATATACTATAAAGTCATAGTTGTAAATACCAAGAGAATATGATTGTATATAAATTATGTTGAGTTGCATTAGAAAATATGAGGCGTTTAACGCTAAACTTATAAAGTCGAATTTGATATGAAACAACAATTTAAATGGGTAGAGCTGACCATTTCCATCATCTTCTGCAATAAAACAAAACATGATATAAAATTAGATATATCTGGCTACAAAAATAACCCTTAAGATTTCTTTGAAATGTTTGTAATTGACCCTGCCCCCTCATTATTTACAAAAATTAGAAATTTTTATATTTTTGGACTGCTGGGACCAACTATAGGGGTACCCATTAAAAAATATATATGTCAATTTAAAGCATATATCAAAAGGAACCAGAAAAATTAATATGATTTTTTTCATTGACTTGAGTGTTTTATGCCCCTCTCTAATATATATATATATATATATATATATATATATATATATATATATATATATATATATATATATATATATATATATATATATATATATATATATATATATATATATATATATATATATATATATATATGTATATATATATATATATATATATATATATATATATATATATATATATATGTATATATATATATATATATATATGTATATATATATATGTATATGTATATATATATATATATATATATATATATATATATATATATATATATATATATATATATATACTCATATATATATATGTATATATATATATACATATATATATATATATATATATATATATATATATATATATATATATATTTATATATATATACATATATATATATATATATATATATATATATATATATATATATATATATATATATATATATATACTCATATATATATATGTATATATATATATATATATATATATATATATATATATATATATATATATATATATATATATATATATATACATATATATCCAGGCCTCGGCAAGAAGCGAGAGCTTTAGCTCTTACTTATCCCCTAAAGGAGCAATTTAGGGCTCGTGCAAAAGTAGAATTTTTTCATAAATATAAACTACTTTTTTTTCCTCTCTATTTTAAGATATTGATTAAATCATAAAATTCTTATGCAAACTACATCAAATAAACAAAAAGCAAAGTTCCAGTTTCCGATTGATTTTTTTAAATTACAAAATGCTATTGTTTATTTGTAGTAAAGTTCTATCTATAAATCAATATAGCTAGTGTGAAAATCTAAAGAAAGTGTGAAAATCTAAAATTAAATTTTGTATTTAATAATCAATATATTTAATAAATAAACAGATAGCTTGCCTAAACACACACACACACACATATTTATATATTTTGCTTTTTTTCTAGAAAAAAAGGTGGCAAAACTCTTCCTTTTTTATAAGTCCAAAATTTAATAATAGACCTTTCTCTTAAATTGTCAAATGGGCAATGCATTATGGTAGTTATATTCATTTAAATCTAAACAATCGGAATAACTTTTTTTAAAGTAGATATTACTACAGTGATGAGTTCTTTTAATCCTAATTTAGAAAACAAAGCAGATGCTAGTTCTCCTCGGAGCTGTTGTCCGGCATCTAAAGCTGTTTTTTGTGAACTTAAATACGATGAACTTGTTACTTTCAATCAAGAGGACAGTGACAGATCTAGGATTTTTTGGTGATTGAGATAACTTCAAGACATGGAGCAAACTCCAAACATGTATGTTTATACCTTTGTCAAATAATGAGGCTGTGCAAAATATTGCGATGATTAGAGGCTAGGTATAAAAAAGCCCTTTGAGTTCATTACCCCCCTTGACCCTAAATATGAGGGGCAACAAGTTGTTAAAAAATTTTTTTGTACTATTCTCAAAAATTTCATAGTATTTTCTCTCAGCGTTCAAAAATTATGACCATATAAAATTTGTAACCTCCTCAAATTGAGGGGGTTTAAACTTTATATGGTCAAAATTTTTGAACGCTGAGAGATGATACTATGAAATTTAATAGACAATGAGATATTTGGACATTGCACAGAAAAAATAAAATTTCTTAGAGATGCAAATGGTTGTGGAATTGATATTTGGACAAAAAATAATTTGGCATCATAAAAACAAAAAAAATAAACAAGACAAAAAATTAATATAAACTCTTCTTAAGCAAATTTAGTTTTTACTAAAAAAAATACATTCTGAAACGCAGCGCTGTAATGTTTTCATATCTGCAAAATATGTTTTACTTGATCTTTACAACCCACATTTGCATTTTCAATTTATATAATAATATGAGAGGAAAAAAAAATGTTTATATATAAAAAAAAAAGGTGTCGGAATGCCATTTTGGTGCGTTCTAAGAGTAAAAAAGCACTGCATATATATATATATATATATATATATATATATATATATATATATATATATATATATATATATATATATTGTATATATATTGTATATATATTTATATATATAATATATATATATATATATATATATATATATATATATATATATATATATATATATATATATATATATATATATATATATATATATATATATATATATATATATATATATATACACACACAATGATACTGTGTTTATTGCTTTCTTTATGTCTATTTATATAAAAAAAAATTATTTTATTATAAGTCTTAAAAATCCCCCCCTTTTTTTTGATGCCCCAAAAAATACTTTCCCTCACAAGAGTGGCGAGGGGGTAAAGATGCTAAAAAATAGCCATCATTTTCTTGTGTTCTTTGCATTTAAAAAATGTGTTTAGAAATAGAATTTAGTAGGGTCATAATGTTTGATTACTAAATAGTTATTAAATGAAATTTATAAACTGTCGATGAATTTAAATTTAGTATAAAGTAGTAAAAAAAGTATTTTAATTAGTCATTGTCCATACATTTGGGGTATGGAAGAGCGGCTGATCTTTTAAGACTATTTTGGTTCCCAGTCTTCAATCGCTTCAATTTTATTGCAAAATATTAACATTTGCCATAAACATGAATAAAAAGGAATAGTTTGTCCCGGCCAGCAGATGTCCAAGGGTCACCAAATAAAAATAATATTAAAAAAAAAAAAAAAAATTATTTGGTGATAATCAAATCAGCGTTGCTGTCCCAGATGGCTTAAAGGCTCTTGCTTATGTTGTTTATTTTATTTTATTATTGTTTGAAATTCATTTTAGACTTTTTTAAATTCTTATTTCTATAAGCTTATAGTCTTTGTGCTGTTTTAAATGAAATAAAATTAAATTAAAAAAAGAATTTATAAATGATTTCACATCAGGAAAAATTGACCAATTAAAACGATTTTTGAATCCAGAATTATACTTTGTACAGCTCACCATGTAGCCATCACTGCCAACCTAATAAGAGTAATGATTTTTATTAAGGTCATTTAAAAAAGATTTGAAAAATTTTAGTAATACAGTCAAAATGATTGATTAATGTTCAAAAGATGTTTGTTTTCAAACTGAATGAGTACCTCATTTAATCTTTAAAAAAATTTGGATTTTTTCTGTGAACAATTATGCATTAAATGTTTTTTCATAATCAATGATTTCTTCTTCAGTAATTTCAATATCATAAAATATATCCACGTCAGCTGAATTATCAGATGCTAATCTTTTTAGTTCAAATATGGATTTGCTTAAACTTTTACTTTCATGACAAATTGTATCATTAGGTGCTACTAAAATTTGTTGTAATTGTCAGTAAAATCACTCAAAGCAAATATTGGACAGTTGGGAATTAAGGCAGATCACACTGCAGTTGAACTAGAAATTAGTTTTGTAATATTCTTTAATGCAAATATGTTACTAAACAATATACACCATTCAAGTCAAATTTAATAATTGTGACTCAATATTTTAGAGAAGATTGCTGTTAAATATAAAATCAATGATCTAAACTATTTCGCGTAGTTTCTTTTTCAACAGGAATAGTTATATCTATGTAAGTGTTTTTTATTGCTCATACCCGGTCTATCTTGTATTTAGAGTATCAAAAAACTTTCATAATCATGTTCTATCAAATATGGAATATTTGATAGAACATGAAATATCACTGTGTTTACCCGTAGAGTCACTTTCTTCATAAATTTTAACCAAGTTTTTCAGATCTTCAGGTACTGTATCATTGTCTCAAGTTTCCAAAGATTCATTTAAAACATTTGAAATAAAACCTTCATGGGATCACAGCTTCATGGGATCACAGCTTCATGGGATCACAGCTTCATGGGATCACAGCTTCATGGGATCACAGCTTCAGCGATCCTTTTGTAAACTGTACTTTAGCTCTTAAATTTTCACAATTTTTTTTTTTTGCTGTTTCTGAGGTTAGATATCTTTTTATTCTTCATCTGAAATAGAAAAAGATTGATTTGGAGAATTTTGTTAAGTTGTTACCAGTAGATGTAGCTCCTTAAAACTTTTTTCCTAAAAGTAAAATTTCTTATGACAAAATCAAAATCAGTTGTCTTCTACTAAATCTTTGGTAGTGACAGTACTTGTTTTAGTTTGAATTACATAGCATAATTATGCTAACTAATTCAAACTAAAGATTTTCAATCAAATTATCACTTTTTTAATGCAAAAAAAACAACAACAAAAGAATGGTATTATGAAATAATAGAAAAATTTAATCTTGGAACTTTTCCTATTTCTCATAATGGCTGATTTTTAAACACAACTTAAAACATTTTGACAGTTTTTTGTCTCATTAGTATTTTTGTAAGCAATACCTCCTCAATTTTTTTAAACCATTAAATTACAATAGGATACTCTTTCCTAAAACAATAAGATCTCTCTCTGTGGGAACCTTTTATGTTTTGAGATGAATGTATTTAAAAAAGGATTTCAGCTCATGATTTTTAGACTAAGAGTTTTTCAGTTTTTTTGAATTTTTTTTTTGAAAGTTCTTTATAGTTCTATATATATTTCTTTAATATAAAAAAGAAACTTAAGATAAAATTGCCTCATTGCCTTAAATAAAATTTAAGAATCACATAATCCCAATAATGACTTCCCAAGTGTTGAAAGGTCAAATGTTGGACCAACCATAAGTCAGGAACTACAAATATTTAGAAAAAAAAAATATTTAGAGGCTTCTTTTCTACATTATCAGCATTACTATAATGAGCGTGATTGAAGGATATCACTTTTGAGCATTGCCTGGTTTTCTCCAAAAATGGCTTTTAAGTCATAGTGAAGAGAACTATTTATCATTCTTAAGTCATAGTGAAAAGAACTATTTATTATTCTTTTGTCATAGTTTAAGAGAACTATTTATTATTCTTAAGTCATAGTTTAAGAGAACTATTTATTATTCTTAAGTCATAGTGAAGAGAACTATTTATTATTCTTAAGTCATAGTTCAAGAGAACTATTTATTGTTTTTTAAATAGTATAATGACTAAAAAACATACAGCTGTTATGACTATCAAGTAATAATGAAACAGATTTAATCAGTTGTAATGTTTTCATCTTTAAAGATTTTTTGATGATATTAAAAATGTATAATATGTATGTTAAACCTTAGTCTTTAAGAGCATCAGGCAACGATGACCACGATCAATCCACAAGTTTGCAAGCTCCGATAGTAAGTTATTATGTATTGACACTCTTTTTTTTTTAAAATTTTTTTAAACGTAAATCTATTTTTTTTTTTTTCTTAATCTACATTGATATAAATTATAATAATATAGATACCTGTACTAATATATCCACAAAATATAGTTATGTAATTGCATAACTATATTTTGTGTACTTTTTTGTGTTATTTTATTGTTGTAGATTAATAATTTAAATCCAGCTCTAAGTGAATCAGAGGATGCAATGAATGACTTGGTGCATAGAAGAAGTCAATATTTAACAGAGGTATAAAAATGTCTTAGTATGTTTTCATAACTTTATTTACAGAAAAAATAATTTAAAAATATTTAGATATTTTTCATAGGTTTTTATGTATTCTAAAAATGGCTATATTTCCTATAATATTTTAGTCTAAAAAGTAATTTTATGCAACATTTTAATATTACTAAAAACAAGAATCAATATTAATTACTTTCAGATCATCTCTCATTGACTGTTACATAGAGTTGACTGTTACATAGAGTTGAACATATAGCTGACTGTTACATAGAGTTGATTGTTACATAGAGTTGGCTGTTACATATAGTTGACTGTTACATAAAGTTGACTGTTACATAGAGTTGACTGTTACATAGAGTTGACTGTTACATAGAGTTGGCTGTTACATATAGTTGAGTGTTACATAAAGTTGACTGTTACATAGAGTTGACTGTTACATAGAATTGACTGTTACATAGAATTGACTGTTACATAGAGTTAACTATTACATAAAGTTGACTTTTACATAGAGTTGTTTGTTACATAGAGTTAACTGTTAAATAGAATTGATTGTTAAATAAAGTCGACTGTTGCATAGATTTTACTGTTACATAGAGTTGACTATCACATAGAGTTGACTGTCACATAGAGTTGACTGTTACATAGAATTGACTATTACATAGAATTGACTGTTACATAGAGGTGACTTTTAAATAGAGTGTCTTTTAATAATTCAATTACTTTTCAATTAACATTCTCTTTTGATACAATAAACTTTTGATAGCATCATGCACAAAAAAGATGTCATACAGTTTAAGGAAACTTTAGTTAAAAAACTAGATATTAAAATACTAGAATGTTAAACAATTTAAATATCTGAATTATAATATCTATAACAAATATCTAAGTTATAGTTAGTATTGTTGATGTTTTTGATATTGAGTGTATCCTACATAATTTTAATCCGTTCTGTTTTTAAGGCTTGAAAATACCATTTAAAACCTTTTGTTATGGCCTAGGGTTTGTTAATAGTATTGAGGCAATTGCTTGGCCTTTTTAAAAGTGTACTGAGTACACTATTTAATAGCCTAATTTGAGTCAAGTTCTTTAATAAATTTAAAAATAAAGAAAGTTCAAAAAAATATAAAACTATAAAACCATCGATCACCAAGATCTCTAAACCTATCATATCAACCTAATATTGTGGTCTTCAAAGTAACTTTTATTCTGTTGAGTCTTATCTCTTGCAAAGTTTACCAGACCTACTTGCTCTTTGTGAAACTAATTTGAGTTTGTTTGCCTAATCTTGTGATCTTTGTGTTGATGGTTATCTTTCTTTAATTTGTAAAGATTCCAATAGTTACATGCTTGGCCTGGGAATTTACATTTGTAAGAATTCACCCATTTGTTGCAAAACTAGGTTTGAATCCACTGACTATTCTTTTATGTGCTTTTATATCCCTATTTTCAAAAACTCTGGAGAACGATTTGACTCATCTAACTATTGTCCCATTAATCTTCTTCCTACCATAAGCAAAGTTTTTGAGTCTTTTATTAACAATCACTTTATCTCTCATCTTAAATCTAATAACTTACTTTCTGATCATGAATATGGATTTCGATCTTCTTGTTCTACTGCTTATTTGTTAATGGTAATAACTGATAGGTTTTATCATGCCTTAGATGCCTTTTCTCTTATAGACAAGGTGCAAAAATGCATTGTAAAAGTAGTTGGACCTGTTCTTGCAGCCAATCTTTAACCGTTATCACATCTTCGTAATGTTGTTTCTCTTTCTCTTTTCTACAAATACTATAATGGGCACTGTTCTAAAGAGCTAGCGTCTCTTGTGCCATCTACTAAAATTCATTCTTGTGTTACTCGTCATTTAATCAAGTCTCATCTTTTTTTGTGACTGTTCCTAAGTGCTCTAAAAACTCTTATTCCTCTAGCTTTTTCCTCGAACATCAGTTCTTTAGGATTCGCTTCCTCCATCTTGCTTTCCTGATTCATATAATTTGCAATCTTTTAAGTCGTCCGTCAATTGTTATCTTGTTCTACAATCTTTATCTTTTCTATTCCAGTAACTTCCAACACTAATTAGTGGTTGCTTGCAGTCTTTTTGGAAGCGTAGATGTTTAAAAAAAAAAGAAGATAAATGTGGAGTGGTTAGTGCTATCGCTCTTGACATTTTTAAAAGTTTTGATAAAGTTTGGCATGTTGGTCTTCTCCATAACCTTTCACCTTTGTGAAATGTCACCATTGAGAGCCCCATGCTGTAGCAAATGTCACCAGTCATTGAGAGCCCCATGCTGTAGCAAATGTCACCAGTCATTGAGAGCCCCATGCTGTAGCAAATGTCACCAGTCATTGAGAGCCCCATGCTGTAGCAAAAGTGAGATCCTTTTCAAGCTCAAATGACCCCTCCAAGCTTTAAGAGAGTTTTGGCTTTTTATCAAGACAAGAATAAATGGTAGTATCATCAGCGAACAATGCCACCTTAGATGTGAGAGTATCTGGAAGATTGTAAATGTAAATTAAAATAAGTATTGGGCAAAGTTACAGGAACTTCAGGGGTTCCTCAAGATTCTATCTATTGCCCAGTAAAAAATAAAAATATTACTTTAATTTATTTACCTTATTTATTAAAATTTTATTATTTTATTAACGATTTTGTTGTAAGAGCAAATATTTTTTTTCCAAAATCATTTATTAAATATATCTCCCTATTTATCATTTATTAAAAAATAATCGCCGCAATTTAACTTGTGTTCTATAAAAAAAAAAAGTTTAACTTATGTCCTGTAAAAATTTTTGATGCATTCGTTTATTTAAAATTTAATTATGAGTAAAAAAAAAATTTTTTTAGGAAGGAAAAAGCAATTGCGATATAAATGAGCTACCTTTTTTTAAGAATAAATAGAATTTAAATATTGAACAATATTTAGTGATATTTTTAAATAAATTTGACACCTATGTTAAACCTTTAATTTTAATAAACTTAAATATATTTTTTAAATATATATATTAAATATATATATATTTTTTATTAGAATAAAATTATATATTTTTGTTAAGTTAATTTTAAATTAAATCATATATTTTTTATCAGAATTAAATTACATTATTATGATCTTCAAGCTTAAAGTATTAGTGTTATACAAGCGAAAAAATCAATCATTATAATAAAATAAAAACAAAATAAAAAATAAGTTTTTAATTTTATTCATTTTAGAGTTTTTTTCATTAATAAATAGCGGTTATATCTAACATAATTGTCATTCAAACTTTTGTAACAAATATTTTTACATAATCGTTATTCTAAAGTTAATGTGGTTTTTTTGAAAATTAATTACTTCTTTTATGCTTTTTTGTTGAAACCTCAGATTGTCCAATCAATTTACAAAGTAAGTCTACATTTTGACCAATCAAAATTAAGTTCTACAGAATAAAGCATATTGCTGACCACACAAATGATTTTTTTTGTTTACAACTTGACCATGACTGTTTAGATGTTTTGAAGATTTAAACGTTTCAGAAATGTGCTGAAAAAAGAAACATTAAAAACTTAAACTAGGAAAAAAATTAAATAAACTAAAGAATAAGCAAAACAATTCACAAAAAAGAAAATAAATTAGCTTTAAAGTAAAACTAAAAAGGCTCAAAGTTAAAATTACTTTTTGTTACATTTTTAATTGCATTTGAAAAATATTACTTTAAAAATTTTCTTTAAAAATGTTTAAATAAAAGTTATGCAAAACGCTTTTACAATTAATTAGATTGGTTTTTTAATAAATGAACAAATTTTATTTAAATTGTTGATTAGTGAAATTAAATTATTGAAAAGAAAAAAAAAAATAATATTTTGATGTTGTATGAACATTTTCTTTCAAAAAATTGCAAAAAAAAAAAAAAAAATTAAAAGAAAAAATAGCCTTGTCTTTTTAAAATCATAATTTTTAATCAATTCATGCTTTAATTAGCAAGTCAAGTTTAAAAAAAAAACTTTCAAACAATTCTTTGTAAAAATAGAAACAAAATAAAAATAAAGCAATTAAATTATGGGAAGATTGAATTTAACTTATTCATAATTTAATGTAACTTAAAAACAGTGGCGGAACTACTGGGCGCAGGACCCTGCGTTGCGGGGGGGCCTACTAGCTATAGGAAGCCCTCATATAAAAAAAGTTATACTCTCAATAATATTTATACTATAAAACTCTTTTCCGCAAAAAAAACATTCTTTTGCGGGGGGGGGGGGGGCAAATTTTGAAGTTCCGCCACTGCTTAAAAAAATAATTTTTTAAAAGGTTTTTAAAAAGACATGGAAAAATAGTTTCAAACATTTAAATTTATCATAAAAAATACATTCTTACTTAAAAAAAATTTAAACATAACATTTGATTTACACATAATGCGTTTATTTTAAATGGTCATTATAATAAATTTTAGATTGATCAATGATTAAAAGTTATTTGTAATGTAACAATTTTTTTTTTATTGCATTGAAATTGTTAAAACATCTAAAGAGTTATTGTCAAATTGTAAAGAAAAAAAATAAGCCTTGTCAGTTACAGCGTGAAAATTTAAGTCTATCTAAAAAAACATACAATGTTAAATTGAAACTATTTTATTAAAATACAAAAATCTGAGATGAAATATTCTAAATAATAAGAGTGTGTGTGTGTGTATATATACATATGTTTATATATATACATTTATATATATATATATATATATATATATATATATATATATATATATATATATATATATATATATATATATATATATATATATATATATATGTATATATATATATATATATATATATATATTTTTATTAAATTTTGTACACGGACAGGGTCCGTGTACTGGTTGGAACACTTTGAGCCGTAATAGCCTGAGGGAAATAAAGAAAATTAAATTAGTAAGTTTAAGTGTTAGCATCAGATTATCAAAATTGGACACATGTCCAGTACAAAATTACAGTTTCAGTAGATGAAGAAGGAACACAATAAAAATCTAT